AGTCGTGCGCTTCTAAGTTGGATTTTAAAGCATATTATGCATTAAAACTCCAATGACTTCACTTTTAACCTTCATGACTTTTTCCAGATAACGGCTTCGCAGATATGGAAGTAGATTTGGAATCAGCTCATCAAGACGCATCTAATGATATGCGGTTCATTCTAATTCGCACCCTTAAGTTGGGATCGTTCCATTGTAAGTAGTTGTTATAAAGAGCACGACTTACTCTTCTAAACAAAATGGAAGCAAGCAAATCGGTTCAAAACAGTAGTTATGAAGTTTTGAACATGATGGTCAGGACTTTTATGCTAGCATAATGCAAACCAATAGAGAATACGAAAACGGTACTGGTTATCTTCAGATGGAAAAACAATAAGTAACGCAGCTTTTTTTGGTACGCTTCACTATGTTCTCATGAGATTTTTGTCTTCTCCGGTGCATATGTCTAAGCTGAGTACTATTTGCGTTCCTAACCTTTGTAAGGTGAATTGTTACACATGTACCTGCGCATCACCTCTGCTTGTGCAGGGTCGCGCTGGCTACTACAGAAAGCATTCAAGCACAGAGCTTCTGAATATAATACATACCTGAGCATAGCTTTGACCTTACATTACTAGTGTTACCCGTCACCGGTGTTACCCTACACAGCGGAGCAGCCTACGTTTCCGGCATATCAAATCGTTTCCAGCTACACTACTATCTCCTGTTTGTGAGATCGATCCTTAGTGTGGACTTCCTTACCCCACACGTACCGGGGTTTCTTCAGCTAGTTTCCGCCCGTAAAAACGCTAAGCTAGGCGACCCTCTTCTCACACTCGGCGTTAGCAATTGCCCGTGGAAATCAAAAGTTGGCTTAGTAAGTCTGCTCTTGTAGGGGAAAAATTCCAATACTCGATCAGATAGAAAAAGAGGAAGAAACCCTGCACATCGGATAACGCCTGCGACGCTGGAGGTAACAAGAACGATGTTGGGGCACTAAGGGTTGTTTCATACTGCAGTCGCTGCAGGTACTGCAGTCATATAGGGGCGGGCAAAAGATATCGATCGAGTGACTGCCATTGCTGCAGCGACTGCAGTATAAAACAACTCTAAGGGGGCCATTTGAATCGGACAAAAACGACACGTCTGCCTGAACTGAACGCCATGAAGACTGCTTCATGCTCTGCACCTGCAACACCAGGAAGTCTCCACTAAAGCTGACCGCCACACCCTTTTCGACGCCGAGGAGCATATCAAGTACATCAATATAGCTTTGCAAGACGAAGATCAGGAAGACGGACGTGCGGCAGGTGAGTGATGGAACCCCTATTATTCGTAATGAATAAAGGCCTCATCATGGAACGTTGGAGGCATTAGCTTTGTTCGTACATCCATCTATCGTCCATTTTGTCGATTCTTATGAGATCCTGTCACCTCGCTTGGCCATCTTACGACTGCGACCTCCACGTCAGAAGACATCAGCATCATCAACTGCTACTCACCAACATAGTTGACGATTCAGAACTAGATGCTTTCTACGAAGACGTGGAGCAGGTCATCCGCAGCGAGAATTCCTTCTACAAGTTCGTTGTGAGTGACTTCAACGCAAAGATCGGGATGCCACTAGAAGAGGAATATAGGATCGGAAAGTTTGGATTTGGACTTCAAAACGAAAACGGCATTGTCTCGTTGGGTTTCTCTCCGCCGCACGACTATTCTGTAAAAATTCCATCTTCAGAAAGAACATCGCGGTGGACATGAGAACGAATCGAATCACGCGGAGATCGACCACAATCTCACCAACTGAAGATGGAGCTTGCTCGATATTTTAGTAGTTCCATCCTTCTGAAGTGGCTCCGATACCGTCTCCTTCGGAATACGATCAGCTGGAAGCTGGAAAAGAAGGTCTGCCTCAGCGCCGTAAGAGAGAAGAGTCGTCTATGACGGAGAAGCAGGAAGAGCTCTAGTCAACCTGTGATTGGCCCATCGTGGAGGACCCAACGTACGACTACGATCGGCTTCTGAAAGGATTGCGAGTTTGCGGAGAGTGCGCCTCTGTGACTTTCGAGAAGAACTTGAAATGCTTTTCGAATACAAGGACATTGGATGAAGCCCAGCCCCAAGAACAAGCTGGATTTCGCAAAGGATTCAGCTGCATAAACCACTCCAGATGGTTTGAGGGTCATATAAGTCTGCCGTGAGTACCGACTGCCTCTCGTCCCAGCCTTCGTCGAGTTCGAAAAAGCCTTCAACGGCGTCGAAACCAACTTCATCCTGTCTGCGCTAGTCGATCAAGGAGTGGACTTACATGAGGGCGGTAACCGACTGCTACAAGGACTGTACAGCAACGATGCAGCTGTTTCATCGTTTTTTAGTCCGAAATGGGAAGAGGGTCCAACAAGGCGATACAACCTTGCCGAGCTGTTCACCCAGCCTGGGCGAAAGAGGAATATGAGTTGAGCGGAGATTCCTTTCGAAACTTCATTTTGCGGACGACCTTCTCTTTTTGAGAAGTATCACTGAAGCAGACACGATGCTGAAAGGACTGAATGAAGTAGGGAATAATATCGAATTGCGAATAAATTGGAAGAAAACTTAGTTAAAGTTTTTTCTGCGAAGGAGATGGAAAAAGATTCCCCATTATGGAGACGTCTTCTTACGCGTATCTTGGACATTTAATGAATGGAGAACAAATTGAGAAGAAGACTTAACAGAAAAAGAAAAGAAGCCTGAGCCGCTTTCGGGCCTCTGAAGAAAGCCACTATTGACGGACCCGGATTTTCAAATCCGTGCTTTGTTACGCAGCTGAGACTTGGGTCGAGATTGTAACCACATCGAGAGCCTGATGGACCACCTGCAGTGCGCTTGAACGTAGTTTTGTGGGGAGGATAAAGGAACAATACCTCACTCAAGCACCGCCTCCGCGGACTGCTGGCTTTCGGTCTACTGTTGTACATCGTGTAGGACCAGTAGTCTGCGGAAACGGTGTCTAATTGAGGTATTCATTCCTCTGTTCTTCTGAAGAGCCGACACAAACAACATTTTGTCGGGCTTCGCAGTACGGCTATGAAAAGAAAGTCCCGTATTTGTGGTCCAACGAGATACGTTGCGAAAGCGAAGCATCGATGGGTTAGTCACATCATGAGAAGAACAGATGATATGGACACTAAGGGCCGCATGCACTAACATCCCTGCGGCGAGGGGAGCGGCGTCCCCAATGATGAAAAAGCCGCAGCGGCGTCCGCACGCGGTCCCTTCATAATGGGGGGCGCCGCTCCCCTCGCCGCAAAAATGTTAGTGCATACGGGCCTAAGTGCACTAACCTCCCCGCTGGGGAGGGGATTGCAGCTCAAAAGAAAGCTTCATATTCTGAAGCTCCAGATATCTGGATTTCACGCTGTCTACCTGTCCGCAAGTATTCCTACTACCTTTCACTATGAACATGTTGAAAGGAGCGAGAAGCTGTACAAGCCGCATTTTCCAGCTTTATAATCCCTGATGATACCCCCTTCTTTAAAGTCATTTTTCTTTCTCCGAAGTTAACGAAAACCTTCCAAAGTTGTACTGAACATCTAACACAACAGTGGTAAGCATGTTGCTGATGAGAACAAATGAGTTTCTGAAAAGTCGAATTTTTTCGGTAAACCTCAAATTTCGACCTGTGGATCATCGAAAATTTCATGATTTCAAAACATCATTTGTTCTTATCAGCAACATGCTTAGCACTGTCGGGTTAGATAATACGCACAACTTTGGAGGTTTTCCGTTAACTTCGGAGAAAGAAAAATGACTTCGAAGAAAAGCGCCGGGGATCATCAGGGATCATGCAAAAGCTGGAAAATGTGGTTTGTACAGCTTCTCGCTCCTCTTCAACATGTTCATAGTGAAGGGTAGTAGGAATACTTACGGATAGGTACACAACGTGAAATCAGGTATCTGGATTTTCGAAATATAAAGCTTTCTTCTAAGCTGCGATCCCTTCCCCGCGGCGATGTTAGTGCATGCGGCCCTAAGGGCATCAGAGTGGATCCCTCGCGAAGCGAAACGTCCCCGGGGAAGACCTCTAATGAGATGGGCACACTTGTTCGTGGAACGAATGGACCAGCTGAAAAATTAGCTGGATATCATTTCCGCCCCTTGATCTCGTGGCGCGACAACAGGAGATCGTAGATGTCCGAAGCCATTGACAAAGAACGTTGAATCTTCTGTGCAAGAGCCCGCACATCACTTCATGAAGACACTTATAAGATCTGAGTAAGCATTTTTACACAGTTTTATAGCCTTGTCTTTCGTTAGAGTCAAAACTATGTGAAACTTTTATACACTAATCTGAGCACAAACACTGACGATCAACTTGCGAGAAGATTAACACTATTACCCTAGTACATTCTACTGCCCAGGCCTAAAACTTCAATAGTTTCGCACATAAATAGACTTGCACAACTAAAAAGATACTAAACTCGTAGAACTACTGCATAAGAAATGTGCACATTGGTTTAGCCTTTGGGCAAGGACCATTCCCCGCTAACGTGTGCACCATACTTCGAATAGTTAGCGAATGCTTCATACATCTCCCGTAAGTTTTTCTCTACAGGATATTGTGCGCATGTCATAACCTAAATTATGTTGCTATACATAACCTTTGATTCAACTGGCTTGGCTTCGGGAAGGCGGGGCTTTGAGACCTAATTGAGGCCGCTCGCGCCCGCAACGCACCGCGTCTCTCTCGCGCGAGTGCTCTCTGATCACTACCTAGCCTTTCAATTAGGTCACGAAGCCCCGCCTTCCCGAAGCCAAGCCAATTGAATCAATTGGTAGTTATTTGGACCTACAATGCACAGTGGTTCCAGGGCCTTTTGCCCCCACATACCGTATGCTACCGTAATCGCAAACTCCTTTTGATAGGCAAGACTACATGAATCCATATGCGAATTTTGAGCTTTTGCAAAGAGGGCAGAAAGTAGAGGTTTCATTTTTTATGAGCAGCCAATTGCGGTAAATACTGTAGTGGCAAAACGTCCTCAACTATCAACAGATAAATTTACCAAATTGGATGGGCTATACGATTTCTTGAAAATGCAGTGTTTGAATGCTGCGTTGTATATGCGTAACAGCTGAAAAAATATTGTAGTAAAAAATTTGGAAACTTATAATATTTGTTACCTCCTTGGGGGCTTCACTAAATGTTAGTCGATTTCCCAAAATGTTTACGATGAGCACTCCTTCAATAACAAGAAATTACTTGAGAGCATTCCGTTCTCAGTTTTTGGAGACACAAATAAGGACAAAATACCAACCGTTTGATTTCAGTATACTGGCTAAGTTATTTGCTACGTTAGCAACGACGAACTTTTGAGCCGGACAAATGAACATGGACGATTGGTCCACGACGCATGCATCCAAGAAAATTACATCGAATTTTTCACCTAAAAAAATTCTTCTGAAACTGCAACATGCCTCCGTCTTCGGTCCTTCTAAGCCTTCGTCTCAAATCTGAGATTTCCGTGATACACATAGATTGCGATAAAAGCTACCTTGGTCAGCACACTTCTTCACAAATTCCGTTCCATCTGCAATGATCACCCTGTGCATTTCGTCCAGCAACAAACCGCACCAATACTCTGATATGTTTAATATCTGCGGATCATATTCGACGACCGTTATATTCAACTGGAAATTGTGACCGAACTTTCTTAAATAACAGACTGTTAAGACTTACATTTCGATAATTATGATGGAGATAAGAATTCAAATTTCCTCCTCCAAGGCCTAAGGAGAGAACAGAAGCAGAGACCTTTCGGCTCATAGAGATTGCGCCACTTGTAAACATTTCCTCTGGAAAAGATTTGTTGTTCTACAAAGTCAATTCTTGAATATCCTCTTCAGGCATCTTATTGTTAGAATCAGAATAATGGCAAGATTAATGTATTCGATTTCAGTAAAGTCAAGAGAGTTTTCTAAGCAAGCGCTTAGTTCGTAACCTTTAGTGTGCCTTAAAAAGCTCAAAATAGTCTCAAATGTTGTCTACATTTAGTTAGGGGAGAAAAAATCCATAGAAAGACCCGCAAGAGAAGCGACCTTTGCAGTTTACTAGTTCGTTAGAACTTCTGAGAATGATTACTAAAGTTACAGTCATAAGTTTTTTCTACATTAGGCTAATTTTGGCGACGGTATCAATTTATTGCAATCTTTCCCATTTTCAATTCACATACGAGAAGTTTTGAATTTCAAGATTTCATATCTGGAGACAGCAATGACAGTTAATTTGTGGATATTTGTAGCAAGCCATGATAAACATTTACTTTTTCTGGAAATCTGATATGAAATGCACAGCTAGGTGCTTTCATTCTTTCGTTTCGAAAAGTCGAAATACTCTATATGTTCTCTGATCATGAAAACTGGGCATTGTATTGAATTCATGAAATAATGTTTAAGCCACGCAGGTTTGTTAAGATGTTTATTCAGTCTAACGTTTCGGCAATAATGCCTTCCTCAGAGACCTGAAAGAAAGCCTCATCACACTGTTCTGTACCATATACGATCAAATCTCTCTTCTCAACCAGCTTAGCTCGATGCCTTGGGAGCAAACATGCCGAGACATTACGTTGTGAGTAACGTACCAAGATCTCCACCGACAGCGCGACAACAGGCGTTTAAATCCACTGATGGTATAGACTATGGCTGACCGATGTGGACAGCTTAAGTAGTAGTGGATATGTTATCTAAAACTGACAATATGACAGAAATGGCATCAAGTCACTTGTGATGGAGAGCTGCTCATTCTTTCCGTTCAACTTCGGTTCGCGCGTAAGAATGTATGCAGCTTCAAGCGCTTTGCGAGCTGCGATTCTTGCTTCGTGACCTAGAATGATGCACTTGATATCGAAGTCATTGCCGTGATGTTCTACCTTCCTGTGTTTCCCTAGCGGACTTGACATGCTTTCCCGTCTTTTACTAGCCAAGTGTTCATTGACACGCACGCTGAGTTGCCGACCAGTCTCCCCTATGTAGGTTGCATGGCATTCTAGACATTCAATCTCGTAGACGACTCCAAACTTAGTACAGTCTCCCATTCGTCCGTAAGGGCAAATGACGCAATTCCTCGTAATACAAACTGTATCGTATAAACGATTACGCACTAGCTGTCGTTTGATGTTGCTTCGAGGGATGCTTACGAGAACAACATCTCGCTCCAACTGAGCTTGTATTATACAAGTCTGGAAAGCATGCTTTACCTTATCAGAAATGAATGGTAGGCATTATGGGATCCTGGAACCAGTTTGGCTATCGCCACAATTTGTGCTATTCTTGAAATGTCTAGACCTTGATGAGGAGTAGCCATTGGAGGCTGCTATCTCATTCGCCAGCTCGAGGGATTCTTGTCGTTCACTCTCCCCACTACAGACTTCTCTTGCCGTTTTGTACATGTACAAAACGGCAAGAGAAGTCTGTAGTGGGGAGAGTGAACGACAAGAATCCCTCGAGCTGGCGAATGAGATAGCAGCCTCCAATGGCTACTCCTCATCAAGGTCTAGACATTTCAAGAATAGCACAAATGGTGGCGATAGCCAAACTGGTTCCAGGATCCCATTATGCCTACCATTCATTTCTGATAAGGTAAAGCATGCTTTCCAGACTTGTACAGGGTGTCCCAAAATAATGTGCACACTGTTTGATTTTGAATAACTCTCTTATTATGAGATCTTTCGAGAAGCGGTAAGTGCCATTTTGTAGAGCTGGCTTCAATTTAGATTTGCAGTATGGAGCGAATCACCCATCTCTCTTCATTACTGTAGGATTACGGTAGAAACTTGAAAGAGGGTTTTGGGCCATGAAAGGCCATATTTTGCCTCAGAAAGGAATCAAAGCAGCCTGAAAACCTTTACACTAGGCCAATTAGAGTTGCTGATTCTAACGTAAAGTTCCCAACTTATAATGGTGCTTCACTGAAGAGTTATGCGAGGTAAGCAGTAGCGGCCATTTTCTCAATGTTCCTAAAAAGTGCGGTTACACCGTTTAGAAAGCTTCGCAATGTTGAGAATAGTTGAGTATTGAACTCAGCGTCCCTAAAAACCCTATTACACAAGTTTTCACATCCTTTTGAAAACTTTTGAAACGGCAGCTTTTTCCGCAGTGACACCATATGTTCCAAGTTTCTACCGTAATCCTACAGTAATGAAGAGCGGTCGGTGATTCGCTCTGTACTGTAAATCTAAGTTAAAGCCAGCTCTACAAAATGGCGCTTACCGCTTCTCGAAAGACCTCATGATAAGAGAGTTATTCAAAATCAAACAGTGTGCACATTATTTTGGGACACCCTGTATAATACAAGCTCAGTTGGAGCGAGATGTTGTTCTCGTAAGCATCCCTCGAAGCAACATCAAACGACAGCTAGTGCGTAATCGTTTATACGATACAGCTTGTATTACGAGGAATTGCGTCATTTGCCCTTACGGACGAATGGGAGACTGTACTAAGTTTGGAGTCGTCTACGAGATTGAATGTCTAGAATGCCATGCAACCTACATAGGGGAGACTGGTCGGCAACTCAGCGTGCGTGTCAATGAACACTTGGCTAGTAAAAGACGGGAAAGCATGTCAAGTCCGCTAGGGAAACACAGGAAGGTAGAACATCACGGCAATGACTTCGATATCAAGTGCATCATTCTAGGTCACGAAGCAAGAATCGCAGCTCGCAAAGCGCTTGAAGCTGCATACATTCTTACGCGCGAACCGAAGTTGAACGGAAAGAATGAGCAGCTCTCCATCACAAGTGACTTGATGCCATTTCTGTCATATTGTCAGTTTTAGATAACATATCCACTACTACTTAAGCTGTCCACATCGGTCAGCCATAGTCTATACCATCAGTGGATTTAAACGTCTGTTGTCGCGCTGTCGGTGGAGATCTTGGTACGTTACTCACAACGTAATGTCTCGGCATGTTTGCTCCCAAGGCATCGAGCTAAGCTGGTTGAGAAGAGAGATTTGATCGTATATGGTACAGAACAGTGTGATGAGGCTTTCTTTCAGGTCTCTGAGGAAGGCATTATTGCCGAAACGTTAGACTGAATAAACATCTTAACAAACCTGCGTGGCTTAAACATTATTTCATGAAGTCGAAATACTTTTTTTTCCCAAGGTCAAAAACATGGAGTAATGCAGCCTAAACTCTATGTACAGCACTAAATAACCCACCTATCATTGTGGTAACATAGGTATCGAATCTTGGCGTTTTTCTATCTATCCTCCAATCTGCTGTGTCCATTTTTTCTTCGGTGAGATCTGAATGAAAACATAAAGGAGCGAACAATGATTTTTTCTCCACGCAACTTTTTTCCAATTTTAAATTTTGTTTCTATCAATTTTCCCTTTTCTCTGAGCCATTTTTCTGCTAGCCAGGTAAGAATGAAATTTTTCGCTTTTGACATCTGTTATCCCTCTCTCAGCCGCTTCCCGCTCCCCCTTCCTCTTTCCAGGTTAAGATTAGATTCAAGTAAAAATGTTCGAGTGTTTACGACCTTTCCTTTCTTTCCCCTATTTGACGAATGTGTCACCGATCAATTTGTAATACTTGCTTATGACTCACCAAAGGGCGTTTTCAGCAACAACGAAGTCAATCTAATAGAATCGTAACCAATTTCTCGAACAATTGCAGGTCTTCAACAATTTGTTACCTCCTTCATCGAAAAAGTAAAATTGGACCTTACTTTTTGCCATCACTTTCAATTCTATCGACGATATCGACGCATGTACCATCAATGAGACATATTGATTTTTCCCTGCAAAAATTCGAGCGTTTTTTACTATTTTATAGAATTTCTCACAATCGTGCTATTTGTAACGTAGTACTTTCCCTCTGTCGATTTCCTGCTAATACTTTCGCATCTGCAGATCCAACTAAAATTGGACTTCTACATATAAAGTGCGGTTCATAATTATACGAACACCCAAAATTTTGTAAGTTTTTGGACTTTTTGGAGGAAACTCAAAAAGCCGTTGGTACCACGCGATAGAACACAACCGATAACGGTATATGATCCATAAGAATGCAAATCCATGTCAATTATAGGAGTGTTCTTGCGCCTAATGCGAATTTTTAGCGGTTCATAATTATACGAACACCTCAAACAAAGGTCCATTTATCATTCAAGATTGCAGTCATTTGAGTCCAAATTTTCTGTAGAGTTACAGCAACAAAGTCTGACATATCTGCTACGCACTGAACCCAGTTCAGTTCAGAAAGAGGACCGTTACTAATAACTTGTTCCTATTTCTTTAAACCTAGGCATTGTATATAATCTAGGCCGTTAGGCCATTCGAGTAAAGACACTACCATAACAAACCTGTTCGGCACAAGCAAAATTGAAGGACCGTTACTTTTTTAGAAGGCTCTAAATGCTTTTGGAGTGATTGCGCTCCAAAAACATCCGTTCTTCTGTGGTTTACGCGCTCTAATTGGCTTCTACCAAAGCTATGAGATAAAATAAGCTCTTTCGATACAAATTTTGTTTGACGCTTGGAAAATCTTTGCGTTTTCGTGCCGTTTTTCAATCAAGTTCCACCCTTGCCCTAGAGTTAGCACAATTTCGAGCCTCAAAACTCAGCTTCTCTCTCGCGTAAACATTTGATATGAAGCAGCTGCATTGTTTGCATGATGATGTTTTTGTGCCAAAGTTTTTGGGATTTTGTAGGACTGATCTTGAGGCTGTGGAGCTACAAACCAAATAAACGTGTGATTGCAATAGTAAAAAATGACGTCTGCGTGGCCAAAACAAACGCTCAACGCTGCTGATTTTTTATAGCCAAATATACAGTCTTGTGAACTTCTACGTACTATATGCTTACTTCATTGTACGGCTTCAGAAGCTGAGTTTTAGGCTCGAAATCGTGTTAACTCTAAAGTAAGAATTGAACTTGGTTAAAAACGGCACGAAAACGCAAAAATTTTCCAAGTGTCAAACAAAATACCTATCGAAAGAGCTTATTCTATCCCATAGCTTTGGTAGAAGCTAATTAGAGCGCGTGAACCACAGAAGAACGGATGTGTTTGGAGCGCAATCACTCCAAAAGCATTTAGAACCTTCTGAAAAAAGTAACGGTCCTCTTTTTGAACTGCACTGGGTTCAGTGTGTAGCAAACATTTCAGACTTTGTTACTGTCACTCTACAAAAAATTTGGACTCAAATGATTGCAATCTTGAATAAAAATGGACCTTTGTTTGAGGTGTTCGTATAATTATGAACCGCTAAGAATTCGCATTAGGCGCAAAAACACTCCTACAATTGATATGGATTTCCATTCTTATGGATCATATACCGTTTTCGGCTGTGTTCTATCGCGTGGTACCAACGGCTTCTTGAGTTTCTTCCAAAAAGTCCGAAAACTTACAAAATTTTGGGTGTTCGTATAATTATGAACCGCACTTTATTTCTATTTTTCAAAAAATTCTCAGCTCTTGGTTCTTGACTAACTTCCTTTTTTTTTGCGCTGCATAATTCTACGTCTTCTACGAGCTGCTTGCATCAACGCGTGCCAGCTATGCTAGCACCGTGCCGGAACTGTGTCGGCGCTAGTCGATCGATAATAGTTTCTGACATGCCCTGGAACTGAGTTAGCGCTGCGTGGCACGGTACCGACACATGAACATTGGACAGCTCGAGGTGCATGAAAAATTGAGCGTTATCATCCTTCATAAGAAAAATTAAGATTAGAATTACGCATTAAAACATTTACCCACTATAAGTGCTCCTTAAATTTGGAAATGAAAATTCAAAAATGAAAAAATTACTAACAATATTCTCTCATCTCCGTATTTTTTGGTGAACAAGTCGACCAATTTCTTTCCATTGTCCTCCTCTTCTTCCTCCAGTTGCTTCGTTGTACCTCTCTCATCTCCGTATTCTTTGGTGGACAAGTCGACCAATCCTTTGCTTTCTTCTTCCTCCTCCAATTGCCTCGTTATACCTTGATTTACTGCGAAGAAAACCAGCGCAAAGATCTAAATTTGGTCTTTGAGATTACCAATTCTCAATCTTTGGAAGGATTTTCGATATCTATCAGTAATCGAAGCAGGGCGTAGAAGCGCAAGTAGGGAATGCGTTCTTGCAAGTATGAATCTCAAGTCTGTGTCAATTCCGAAGTGAGGGGCAAGCGAGAAATAGGTAAAATTCGCCTTAGTACCCTTTGATTTAACTGGCTTCGAATGGAAGGCGGGGTTTCGTGACCTGATTAAGGCTAGATATTGATGGGAGAGCACGCGCCGAGAGAGACGCAGAGTGTGTAACGGGGGCGAGCGGCCTTAACTAGGTCACAAAGCCCAGCCTTCCAGCAGCCAAGCCAGTTGAATAAAGGTCAAGCAAAACTGCAGTTCATTCTTCCCCAACCGATCGTGTAGGTTGCTGAGTAGGTCTGCGCACAAAATCGCAGTAGTGCCGAACCTAACACCAAAGCGGATTACTAATCAGATTTTAGCAGCTCAAATCATAAATTGGAGATAGCCCATGTCAAGCAGTCTTTCACTTTCTAAAAAGCTTGTATGAGGATCTTTAGCATGCGAAACCACCCGACAGCTTTTGGGCGAAACATCCGAAAATTTGACATCTATGTGACGATCTACACTGCGGACTGAATTATCGATGTTTCCTAATCTTCTGAAATCACTTAAGGAAATGAGATCGCAAGATCAATGATTACATTTAACACTCTCAACACCGTTAACCTTGCAAACTCTAACCGATCCCTAATAATGACGGAGAGCAGAAATCTGCTCTGCCATGCACCCTCACGGGTTACCAAACCTCTACCCTATGCAACCTAAAGGGAGGGGTATTTTGCGAAAGCAGAATCTTTGTAATAGCCTGAAGTCTAGTTCGTACTAGTCAGGCTGCTTTCTCCGTTTACTTCGCCAACAACCAAAAGTTCTCTTGACGGATACAGTGCGCATGCATCCATAGAATTTTGCGGATGGCGGCGACCACGCGCGTCGCGTACGCTGTTGACGACCGCATTTCCTTGACTTTTTTCTCTGGTAGAATGGTTTCTTTGCACGCTTAATTAGCGACTGAGCTCTGCCTTTCCCACGCTCGTGGTGGAAAGTGATAAGAGAGCATTCCGAAAGAGGTGCGGAATCCAGACGAGGCGTTCGCGCGGGAGCGAAGATGCTGGTCCACCCGACTCTGCAATTGATAAGCCCTGTGCATAAACAATGCCATATGACGCGGCGCGGTGCGAAAGTGGGCGGCGCTTCAAGTTGCTTGCGTTTTACAAATGACGTGTCGCCTCCCACGTGTTCCCTCCCCCATCCTCCGCCCCCTGGCGAGGCGCATAGGGCGGCCTTTCCTTAGCGATGATTCTACACCGTGAATCTACTCCGCTCGCTGTAAAAGTGTAACCCTTTTTGGAAATCACTCAAATGGGAGGTACACTCTTTATAACGCTTTTAGAGCTGCTCCATCTAGCCCTGAAAAGCTACAAAATGACCAACTCACCACCAAGGAAGCCATTGCAACTTTGTGCCACCGCCTCAGTCTCATTGAACCAAAATAAATTAGGGTAGCTTTTGAAAACATAGAAAGTTGCCTATCATTTCTGCACGTTTGTCATGCAGTCATGTTGATACTTGTTCATTCGTGAGTAGTCATTGCATAAACAATGACGCGCTGATTTTTCATGTTAAGCTGGTCTTTTGGAGGCTGATTTCGTTCACATGCATTGCATGAGTCGCTTATCTACAAAGTAAGATGAGGGGTTCTGCATGACATGCAATACCCTTCATCTTTTATTTTTATTTTATTTTTTTTATTCATCACATTACTTAAGCATAATGCGCAATGATACAAATCACTACATAACCTTTGCTTCAACTGGCTTGGCGGCTGGAAGGCGGGGGGCGGGGTTTCGTGACCTAGTTAAGGCCGCTCGCGCCCGCGACGCACCTGCGTCTATCTCGCGCATGTGTTCTCTGGTCATTATCTAGCCTTAATTAGGTCACGAAGCCCCACCTTCCAGCCGCCAAAGCAATTGAATCAAAGGGTAATTAGGAAAGTTAGGACATCAATTAAACACAGAAGAGCATTCAGCTTTGCTTCCATACCGCTACACCTCCCACACATAATTTTATATCTAACATATAGAAAAGTTGAATAAGCAGAACGAGAAGTACATTCTTCCTTGATAAGGCCTCATACACACTATTAAAACTTGTATAGATATTGTAGTAAAGAAGAGGTAGAGAGGTTTTTTACAGTATTGTAAGAATTGAGCTTGTAGTCCCATAATAGTAGCATTATTGCGGCTTCGCCATTCCTCCAGACACCTTTAAATAACTTTTTTGAATATAGTTTAGATCAGTGGTCAACTACATATTCAAAAGTTATTTCCTATTAATATTAGTAAGTACCCTTCGCTTCAATTGGACTGGCGGCTGGAAGGCGGGGTTCGTGACCTAGTTAAGGATAGATGTTGATCGGAGAGCACGAGCGCGAGAGAGATGCCGACTACGTCGCGGGAGCGAACGGCTTTGATTAGGTCACAAAGCCCCGCCTTCCAGCTGACAATCTGGTTGAATCAAAAAGCATGTAGTTCTTATGTGATGATGAGACTAGTTTTGTTCGGCAGTATGTAAGTAAAAATTTCTATTTCTAAATTAGTGGCGGCCCCAGAAATTTTTTGAGAACAGATTGTGATGAAAATTTTTCGATATGTGTGCCTTTTTTGCACATTCATAACCCTAGTCATGAATTCCGTGACCGGAACTCCTCTCAGGTCGCCATTGCATCTTGATAAGACCATGCTAGAAGATCTTCAACATTTGTGAATTGTATTCTCTCCGCATATTTACGTGTGTTGCGCGACAGTGGCGATCCGAGAATTTTGGGAGGGGTGGGGGGACAAAACTGTTTTCGAATAAGGAGGCGTTGCTACGCGTTCGAATAAAACTTTGGCTTCTCAGCTTTTTTTTAGATTCTTCTCAACTTAGAGAATAGATAAATCATCTTGTGATTCTTCCTGAAAGAACACACTATGGGATCAATTCTGTAACTCGTGTCTATTCTTTTCAGAGATGCTTCACAAGATCTTTGCACTTCAAGTTAGATTTCTCTAGTGTAAGAACGATAAAGACTTCTTATTTATTGATTGGAACGACGTGAATACTGTGCATAGAACAGATGGAAAACAACTACTATAGATGTCAAAGCAGTTCAGTCGCAGACATTCATTTTATTGCCTCCTCATACTTCATGAATTTAGTGTACTCATCCATAAGTCCTTTTGGTCTTGGATGGTTAGTGCACGTCATTACCTAAATGGGCTACTTAATCTCGAAAACAAGGAGAACAACCTAAGAAAAATAGTCAATACTCACAAAATTTGTTGCTGGAGCCCGTCCCAATGTACAATACTTGAAGACGCTTGTATAGTAGGATCTAACCTAAACATTTTGAATTGTACTGCCTTCTCATTTCCGTTTTGAAGATATCAGTAGATGCGCAAAAAAATGTTTTAGGTGAAGGGCTGACTCAATAATTCTCCTTAGAAACAAAGGATCTTTTTCAAAAAAATTGAGCAATATCAGTCACTTTTTTTGTTGAAAAAGTTTACGCTATCAAAGTGGTGAACTAATTGTTTTATGTTTCTTTTTTCAGTTGAAGTAATATTTGTATAAATAATGAATAAAAAAGTCGCTTGCGCAAATTGCCGCTGTTTACAATCCAGAATGTGACTGAGAAGCGGTTGTTCCTTTATTTTTGTTTTCCCAAGCACATTAATTTCTTTCTTTCCCTTCACTTTTCTCTGATCATTTTTGCTTGATAAATGCTTACATTGTTGCCAAACTCGAAGCTGTTTCCTGGCATGACGATGATGTTTGCGATGAGAGCTCCTATAGAATAAAAAAGATAATCGAGCTGCATATCAGCGGTATCAAAATATGGTATCAATTTGTCACCGTTTTCATTTAGAAGCAAAGAGAATATCTTTGCGCTTTCCCTGTTTATTGCTTCCTGTAAAGGACATTGCGCTTTGCCCACTGTAGTGCAAGCATCCAAAAGTATGATATCGAATTTCTCTCCTGAAGTAAAAGCTTCCCCTGAATTTCTGAGTTTAGTATGGATATAAGAAAACCGTTTGAGCTAGCTTTCTTGATGTAATTCATGGCATCTTCTATAATCAAGTGTTGTCTCTGGTCTAGCTTTAAATTAAACCACTTTTTTGAGATCATTGCTATTTGAGGGTCTAGTTCGACGACAGTGATGTTCATCTGAATGTGCATTGTGATTTTCGTAGACTTCTCACGATACATCCATACTTGCGCGTGCCGGCGCCGTGCTAAGGCCGTTCTAGCGCAGTGTCAGAGCCGTGCTAGGGCGATCGATTAGTACAGGGCTCGTCTATGCAGGCTCCAGCATTGGCTTGCACAGTGCCACCATACAACAGCTCTGGACGCATCCTCATACACTTCGCGGTGTGTTTACCTTTGGAAAATGATGGTGCAAGTAAGAATTGACGTAGCCGGCTCCAAGACCCAGTGACAGAACTCTCGTTTGAACATCTCTTCGCATTGGTACGCTACCGCTCAGAAATATCTCCTCTATAAAACCACAATTATAAACTGAATTATATGAGAAAAAGGTGAAACAGTGCGAATATCTTTAATGAAATAAAATCGGCGTGATCAATTCTCTCTGCAAACTAATCCTTCGAGTATAGGAGTAATCCGGCGGATTTCGTGTCTTTATTGTGCCGACGTTTGCAGACTACATTTGCGCGTGGATTAATCCCGGCAATGCCGACAAATGGCGCGTATGAAATAACCGTGGAGCGTTTCCCAGTGCTTCTCCGTCATTTGTTTCACGCGCAAATGTTGTCGGCAAGCGCCGCAAGAACGCTGTATATAACGTCAGATGGTCTATATAAGAATTTTGCATAAGGATAATTTGGTACGCTGACGTCGGCAGTTAGCGCAGTTTCGACTCTGTATAGTAAGTACAACGTAGACCAAAAAGGAAATCTGAGCGAACGTGATCATGATATAAAATCGCAGCTTCTTGGCAAAGTTGCAATGTTTTTTTTTGAGACTATGTATTGACATGTATCACACACATCATTTCAAAAAAAAAGCAACAAAAAATTTAGCCTTAGCACTTGTTGGATCAAGATTTTGATATTGATCTTACTTTTTCTCATGGCACACCGTGTCCTCACCTATCATCATCAATGTGTAGCTGCTAAACAGAGGTGCCCCATGATCTACTTTCCATTTGGTTGTATCCATTTCGTTTGGAGTCAGCTCTGAAATGAGTTGACAGTCAGTTCTCCCATTCTTCCATTGAAAAATACAACTTTGACCATTACAGCACTAGTGCTGAAGCAAGGCCCATTTGCACCCTTATAGTACACTAGTCTAATGCCGGGGCGTGCACGGGATGCATCATCTGTACAGTTCGTGTCAACGACGTGCTCCCTTTCCCATCAGCACAAGCGCAACGCTGGGACCCCGTGCAGCGCACGCGGGCGCACCGATTGAGCGTTCGAACAAGTCGCATCGATCGGGAAACGCTGCGCAATGCCCGCGCGCTGCGGATGCGTAGTTGCTATGGAAAAGAGAGCACGTGGTTGCCACTTACTGTATGTCGCGACAAGCAGATACGTTGGGAGAAATTCCGACAAGCACCTAAGTACTTGACTTCTCTCAAAACCGGGGGAATACTTATGTATGCGGGATGTGATGCAAAAGGACCCGCGTGTGCGAGGCTTACTATTCAAAGTCACATCATTTCAAGACTACCAACCTTTTGGCCATTTTAAATACATGCTTGAATACTCGTACTTTTCTGTTACAACCTCGCGACGTACCCGCAGTCTAATGAAGATGTTATTCATTTTATGACTAGGAGACGCGAGACCGCATTGCACACATTGTCTAGACAAGCTTAATCGCGTACTTAGCGAGTCCGTACTTGTTATTCATCTCGTCCAGGTTTATCCACTCTTTGGAAACAGGGAAGAACAAACTTAGACTTGTTGAGACAATGTCCGCAATGCGGTCTCGGTCTCCTAGTCATAGAATAGAGATATTGTCAGGTGACGATTGCAATCATAATGCTTACTTTGAACGGAAAGTATCTCTTATATCCACGTACATTCCATCATACAATCGAATTGATTTTTCTCTGAAAGCAGAGTGTTTCTAGGTCATGTAGTTTATCAGTAGATATAGCGCCCTTGGGGCCGAGAAAGTGCGGTGAAATTTCAACGTGAGCAAGTAATTGCGCATGTAATGCTGGCATCTTGCGCGCGATTCATCAAAGGCGTGGCAGTGGCGGTCCCAAAACTTTCGTAGGGAGAGGGGGGGGGGAGACAAAATTTCAAATGAGGGTGCGTGCCCAAATTCTTTTCACAAAGTTAATATGAACTTTACTTAATCAATTATTTATTTAATTGAAGCTATTTTTTAAAAATTTCGAAACTTATTCAAATTATTTGCAAGTATAAGCAAGTCGCTTGTACAGTTTCACAACTCATGTGAGTAACTATTACAAATTTCCTGCCCGAAGACACAATGGAACATTCGCACGATCTGTCCCATTCCGGATCAAGCCCAATCGAACTTATCCGCATTCGAATCAAATCAGTTTTCGCTTTGCCAACAATGCGCATACGCAACGCAAACCCCAGCTTGCCAACGAGAATTTACGCTAATGCTTGGAAAGGGGACCATTTGTCGCCGAGGAGGTCATTCGCGGACTTCTGCAATATAGACAAATGCTCGGAGCCATCCGGGGGACATTGAAAATTTCGAGATGTTCAAAGGGACGATCTCAACTATTGCAGCTGCCAGGTAATGTGGGGCGTGGGGCGGTAGGCTCACAGTGACGTCCCAAATGTCGAGGCACAGGACTTCGGGGGGAATGAGAAAAGTGGCCTGGAAGTCCCAGTAGCAGAACCAAGAAGAAACTAAGCGTCCAGAACCTCCAAGGGGATCAGTACGCAGTTTATTAGCCGTTACACTGATACGCAGTCTCCGCGATTTTCGAGAATATGCCGTCGACGTTTTTAACTCCCTTAGAATCGTTTTAACACGTTTTTCTTCCGCATTTTGAGTTTCTTTCCCGCTCCCACCTTGGAGGAACGCTGCTTCAAGAAAGGACTGCTTTGTGCCTCCCAATGGAGGAAAGACAAGCAAGCATGCGATGCTTCACCCAGACATTCCACATCAAGGAGTTGAACGTCGGCATACTCAAGGTACTATATAGTTGAAACAATTTCATGTATTTTTGTTTATATGTCTACCTATACTTTAATTTACTTTCTCAATCTCTATCTCACAGAAACGGCTCTTGATCGCCGCACTGTTTGGAATTCTCTCTCCTTGCGTTCCTACTTTACTTTTTCTCAGGTAGATAAACCATCTTGAGTTCCCTGTAAGTCGTGACATGTTATCATTCGGATCTTGCTGCAGTCCTTTACCCTAGTCATGCGCTCGTTTGCAAATTTACTTCAAGTTGTCACTAAGAATCTCTCCAGGCGTTCGAAAGCAAGTTTTTTAAACTCTCAAACCCTTCTTAATCACAACATTTATGGTTTGATCAATGCAAGCGCAATGTTCTGGTTTACATCTAGGTGTGACTCGTATCTGTTAATTTCCGCTTGATGGCTTGTTCGTGAAGGAATGCAGATTTGCTATGAAGTGAGCTAGGTTGCGATAGTTTGACCCCGCACGGTGGCTCTCAAAGAAGTCAAAAATCCATTTACACAAGGTGTTATATGCCGTTAAGTGCTAAGGTTTTCATCGATTTTCATTATTTATGTATCTATTTTCAAAAGAATGCCTCAGCCCTTCAAGGAAAATGATCTACTTATTTTCTCGCTCCACTGCACTTATTATTCTCCTCTCTTCTAAGTTGTTGAATGATCATTTCTGCTTCATATCTTCTGTGTCCTCTTTTGTTATTTTCTCTGATTATTCCCATGTTGTAATTGTGTTTTGACACGAATTTCTTTTTTGCCATCTTTCTTGTCCTGTCTCATTTAGATCTTTTGCAATCTCTTTCTCGCAGCAAAACTGCTTTTGTTATATATCATCGTGTTTTTTTTTCATGCCATTTATTACTGACCAGTGCGTTCCCTCTGCTTCGCAGCGTTTTGCACTGGCCATTATGAAAAGATGAAGACTTGCGTAGAGTGCTTCACTTCTCTGTCCAATAAATAATCCCGAATGATAATGAACCTCCCCTTCCATGCTACTCTCACATGCTTCAAAGCAGTGTAAATCTTACCTTGCGGAATGATTTACACTGCTTTACACTGTACTTTCGTAACGAACGAACTCTACTCAGCCACATATCAGGCAGTTTACTATAAGTCACCAGCGCTTCACCTCTGGGTCGCAGAGGCTCGCACTGGCCATCACAGAGTGTGTTAGAGTTTGGAGTGTGTTTAGAGGAGTTGTGAGGTTATAGGCAGTGCCTCGGCAGATTGAGACCCATGGTAAAGCAACGGCACAGAGTAGAAGCCTATAAAACCTAAAGGCTAAGTTCTTTCTCGCCACCCCACTTTTAATCCCTGAAAAGCTGGGGCGAAAGGCAGCGCTTCATCTCCTACAGCTCCCGTCTCTGATCCCGTCCACCTTGCAATTTCCTTTCCACCATCACAGCGCGCATGCCGCAGTGCTTCAAGTGTGAGGGTCTCCCAACGACTCTGTCTTCACCATGGCATACTTTGCGTCCACTAGTCCATGTTTGAAATTGATAACTTTGGAAGATGCTCCTCCTAGCCAATCTCGTGCTTTCCAAGTAGGCATTAGAAATCAGCGCAGCGGATCACCTCCAAGTATGCAACAAACAGATGCTTTGAGAATTTGCCAGCCACTCCTGACTATAATGCGGATTTATAGCTCAATTAGTGCTAGTTACAGTATGCCAGGCTCAATTGAGGGCAATTTACAGTATGCCGAATGTGCAAAGTGCAGCGTTTCCGGGGCCTCAAGTTTTGTGTGGTCCTCAGTTTGCAGAGTACAAGGCTCGAAAAAAATACCTTTTTAGATTCCGGAGGACAAATTTGGTGAGATCCAAGGGACAAGTCCGATACCCACCGGGCAGGAAGAAACCGGGAATTTTCCACCGGAACCCCAGGACCGCTTGTTCTGAGTACGCATATGTCATATATGCAAGAGGTACGTAACTGTTGCGATGTCCGCGTGGGCTCCCTTTCGGCGACAAATAGTCCTCTGTTTCCTGCGTTCTTCCCGATCTCGATTGGCCGACTGTAGTGGGAAGAAGACAATGATATTAACAAAGGAAGTTTTCGTTGCAAAGAGAAATGAGTTTCCTTTAAAAGGACTTATTGCTCTTATTTTTGGGATGCGCCAGCACTCACATAGTTCTCGGATTCCCATAAGCTGCAATAATATTCCGCGCTAGTTCAGACCGATTGAGCGTACTTCTCAGGCTTACAGCGTCATCGGCAACAGATGCATTGTGATGCTTTCTCAGGTAAACGATTACGGTTGCCTAAAACTTTATTTCAAAAAAGTTCTGTGTAGAGGCTACTGCCAGCCAAAGGCGCAAAACTTGAAGGCGCAACCACCGTTTCATCAGCCGCAAATCGCAGAGTCATAACGGTGAAGACAGGCGCGCGCCGCCATTTTGTTTATTATTGCTTTTGCGCCTTCGTCCGGCGGTAGCCTATATGTGCGGTTACTGACCAATAAAGCTACGAGCACACCGAAACGCCACCGGATAGCGTGATGCATGCAAAGAGTAGTGTTTTAGCACTACAAAGTTGGCAAACTTGACTGGGTTATATGTGTTAGATCATGTACATAGTAGGAGACCGTACTCCTTCGCCGGTGGGTATTTTCAAACCGATTTGAATTTTTTGTGACATTTTTGTTTAATCTAAGATAGTCCCAACTTCGGCTGTACTTTAATCTTGGCATGAGTTCGCATCGTGTGCCAGTCTGTATTCAGCGTAAAGTCAAGACGCGACTTTTTAGTGCTGATTAATGCGATAGCACCAAAGCGGGTCTCGAGTAATGTCAGAGAAGATTAATATCTTGGTTTTGTGCTCAAATCGAAGCTTCTTTGTGTACTCAGACTCCCATCCGGATCATGAAGGCAACTTACTCTATGACAGACAGACAGACAAACCCTCTATCGGATTCCTGTGCGCCGAAGGATACCGTCTTATATCCTCCTTTTCTTCAGGAAGGGCGAACGGAAGAACTTGAATCGTTCAGTAATCTTTCTTTGCGAGCTTTATGATGATATTTTCGCTTG